GTAGGCTTCAACGTTGCAACGTCGTATACAGTAGCGAATTGATTTCCCATTGATATTACAGAATATCTGTATGAATCATTAGGATTAATATCTTGTCATGAAATATTTAAATATCACTCACAAAACAATATATTTCACTTACCCCGATTCTAACTCGCTATTCCATAAATAATCACAAATTGCAGCTTCGATGTCATCAATTCCGGTTGGAATGTCCGCTTTTTCAACCTACAATTTTGCATACAAATTTTTGTCACAACAACATAATAAAAATCAAATTAAGTATTCTTTTATTAAACTTACCTTCTGCTTCTTCTTCTGGGGTGCAGGACATTCCGAATCCAAAACTGCTGCTATAACACTCTCCGGTGTATAAATGACATCGACTTCCTTCCTCCTCATTTCTTCCATCTCTTCTTCTTCCTCCTCCCTCTTTTCTTCTTCATATTTTTTCAGTTCATCGTACTTTTTTTCTACATAGCTCTTCATATCTTTTATTTCACCCTTCAATTGAGCTCCTTCATCCGAGTATTTATCAACCACCCCCTTCACCCCCGTAAGTTCACTCCTCAAATCAACAACCTCCTTCACCACTCCCTCAAATTTTTCTCCCGTCACCATCTTAATATCACCCCTTAACACCGAAACTTCTTTCACCACTTCACCCCTCAACACCTCTACTTCTTTCACCACTCCATCTATTTTTCCTTCCACTACCCCCTTATGCCTCTCGAGTTTCTCTACGACTTGATCAAGTTTCTCTTCGACTCTTGATTGTCTTTGCATGATTTCAAATTGGATTTTTTTGATATCAGCCAATTCAGACATCAAAATGTCGAAGTTACTCTGTTTTGCTTCACCGTCGTCCCACTCACCTTCATCCCCCAATACAACCATCCCTCCTTTCTTCTCCTCTGCCTCCTCTACATCCTTGCCAATAACCTTCAAAAAATTAAATTACAATATTAAGACATTGATTATATTCTTAATATTATTTAATTACATTTATTACCATTTCTTGCTTCTTCCCTCTATCCAACTTCAACTTCACCATCACTCTAACCACCTCTTCCTTCCCCCATGCACGGATGCGTGCCACTCCGGTTCTTTCATAAGCCGGCACTGCCTCACAGCCCGACCAAAAATCGAACAGTGCAACCTGCATTTATAATAAAATTAGAATTTTTATATAAAAACACAAAAAAGTGATTCAACTCATTTACCTCTAAGATTGCTATGCACCCTTTGAGGTATCTCTGGCTGCCCTTTTTAAAGGTGATAATTGATTCAATCAATCTCGAATGGATATATTCAGCCCAATTGAATTCACCCTTCAAGCCTTCATCGCAAATGAGCTTCATATATTCCTTGTTCGTTGACGTATCACCCGTTGGACAAAGAAATATACCGACAAGGTACAATAGAACTCGGGCCTTCAGCTCATCCCCCAAGTAAGATCCACTTTTGATATCCTCTTCAACTTCAGTATATGTCACCTTATGATTCAAACCATATTTGGAGGCAAGTGCTTTCCAGTTCTTACTCCTACAGACTTCTATAACACTTTTGCCTTTGTTTGTACCCCCAATACGGCTGCAGCAGTCGATACCCCAGAGGGAATGAATAATCACCATACTTAGCCATACATTGACTGACGTCAAATTGTGCCATCAAGGATCGACACAATTCCCTCTGAATAGGTCGATCCCTTACTCCGATCAACGATCCAAAACCTATTTCTCCCAGCACATTCAACTGACCCTTCTCCTTAAGGTGTTTAATTAATAAATTCACCCTTTTAATGCTGCATCTTGTCGAAACTTCCTACATTTTTTAACAATATATAATGTTATAGTTCTTATATATTTTGTATCAACGTATTTACAAGTTTAATGAATACCTTATTTTCATGTGCTTTCCTCCGTTCTTTGTATTCTTTACTATCATTCCTTGACTGTGTGATGTAAGGTTCCTTTTCAGCATCACTCATTGAATTCCATTTGGACCTCACATCTTTTTTCACCTAATATTAAACATAAACGTTTCTTAATCAATACATTAACACTAAATACTAATACTACTCAATGTCAATTTCATTTTACATACCGAACCGCTCTGTGTGCCATCTCCCTTCATCCTTTTGCATTCGGCCATACTGTTAACATTTAAAATTTGTAATCAATTTAAAGTTTATCGATACTTTAATCCAATTACCATTTCAACAATAATAACAAAAAGACATTGATACTTACTAGAAGTACATATATCCACCCTTTGGTTGCTTTCGAGTCTCGGCCTCAATTTCAAAGTCATATGCTCCACCAACAATTTTCCAACCCATTGACTCCATTTTTCCTTCATATATCAGTTTACGCAAATCAAATTATTTTGTTACATACACTTTTCAATATACAAATATAGATAACTACTCTTGTGGTAAAACGGTTTTCTTCAAAAGAATTTGAATGGCCACACCAAAATGTGTCGGCACATTTATACAACCTATAATATCATTTTCTACCTATAATATTTAATAAAAGTATCGACATTTATATTTTTCCTTGAATATCTATTTCTACCTGCAATCGGTCCCAAATGCTTCCTTACTCCAAAACCCCAAACAACACATAAAAAACCCTATCGCGATTACTGTAATAATAAAAAATTAGGGTTTCGACAACATACTTTTCGATTCGACTGCAGCAACAAACAAACAAACTTCGCTTTAGAAACGCCTTCTGAAATGCAGCAACAATTACTCTTCGATTTCAAAAACTCGTCCGTTCTATCTATTTTCAGAGGATATTTAGCTTATATTTTCATCGGATATGTTATTTATATTTAATCGATACAAATACAAAAGTGTCGATACTTTTATGTCAGGTGTCGATACTTTCGAAAGGATAATTACCTATTTCTTTGAAAGTGTCGATAATTTATTACACGTACTTACGAAAGTATCGACACTTTCAATATATCCGGTATCATTTTACCGTTTTTATCATTTTGATACCGGTTTTATCATATTTTTACCTGTTATATCGTTGTGGATCGATATTTTTTTTAAAGTATCGACACATTATAGGCGCTATAACTGCTTCTCTTTTAAATTCACAAAGTGTCGATCCTTATATAACGTATCGACACTTTTAAATTTACCGGTTTTATCATTTTGTTACCGGTTTTATCATATTTTACCTGGTATATCGTTTTGGATCGATATATTTTTTAAAAATATCGACACTTTTTAGGATTTAAAACTGCTTTTAAAGTTATGTAATTTATGTTTCAATTTATTTAATAGTGTTTCATGTTTTCCACCTACAATATTAATTTAATAATTTAATTTACACAATTTTATTTGATTGTTTTGATATTTTATAAAATATTATTTAGCATTTAAATTTAACAATATTAACCAAATATAATAATAAATATGTTTTCAACAGTGAAATAAGTATGGACACTTTTATAAAAATGATATATACTTTTTTGAAAGTTATGTAATTTATGTTTCAAATTTTTTAATAGTGTTTCATGTTTTCCACCTACAATATTAATTTAATAATTTCATTTACACAAAAAATTATTTGATTGTTTTGATATTTTATAAAATATTATTTAGACTTATTATTTAACAATATTAACTAAAGATAATAATAAATATATTTTCACAGTGAAATAAGTATGGACACTTTTATAAAAAGGATAGATAATTTACAATATAACAAGTAAAAATATGACAAAACCAGATTCATTATGACAAAACCGGTAAAATTTACTTGATATGTTAAACGTATGGACACTTTTATAAAAAGGATAGATACTTACCGATAACCAAAGTTTACCGGTTACCAAATTTTTTAATAGTTTTTCATATTTTCTACCTAAAACATTATTAGTTGTCAACATAATAGGTACCGCTAAACCGAATTTATTAAATACATTTTAATGTATCCGGTAATGCTGTATATTAGCCGTATATTAACCCGCCTTTCCTGAGACATTCCGTTAATTCCCCGCACATGCAGTAATGCATCCATATTTGGGATAAATATATGATCCGGATCCAACGGTTTTCACCCCCATTTAATTGTTCTATTATTTTTATTAATAAATAAAATATTTATATAGTAAAATACCTAAATGATACTCGATTATAAGATATTATTTTGTTGAATCTCATGCTTATTAAAAATTATAAAATGATCACTTGATTTTCATATGCTTCAAATTCGTCATTTTTTAATAAAAAAATCAATGGCAGTCTGAGTTGAAAGTTATTATGTTGAATGAGATATGATAAAATTTGATCATAAAATCTTAAATGACTATTATATCACGATCAATATTTTAACGTTTAGCTCATACGATTGTCAATTTTTTAACGGAAAATGACAAGTTTGAAATATCTGAATAGTTGGAGATATTTTGTAATTTTTAATATTAATAGATTCAACAAAACATCACCATATAAAGAATTATTTTATAACTTTTAATAGTTTGATAACTTAACAAAATAACATCTTATAGCATACGGATCATTTGTGTAGTTTATATTCTTTTGAGAAACTTTAATGATTATGCTACAACTTTTTATAATTATTGATTTAATATTTTAAAATTGAAAGATATTCTGTAATCAATAAAATATATGTATAATTTAAGTTATTGTTAATTCGAATATTTAAAAGTTAAATGGAATATAAAAAGGAAAACCGAATCCTATTCCACTTCAGTTTTATTTTTTACCTATAAATTAAGAATTGAAACCGATAACCAAAATCAACCCAAATATCAACGGCACCAAATAGGGAAGTAAAGAAATAAAGGACAATGGACCCCTGGAATTTTAGCCCCAGTAACTCACTTTCTGCTTTCCCAATCACCTGCTGAGTTGGCTTACACGGGTTGAAAACAACCATCTAGTGAACGGTGAGTCGTCTAAACCAACTCACTTTAATCCCACTCGTTTTTTTTTATTTTTTCCACCCTACGTTCATCTCAGTTTTCTTCTCTCCAACTCGTCCACTTTTCGATTTTCTTCTCTCTACGCCACCGTCCACGGAGGCCGCCAGCCGTAATTTCGAGCACATAGTTATGGCTTTCCTCTCTATTTCCTTCACTCCGTAAAACAGCAAGAAAAACAAGCATGCATTCCCGTTTTACCCTTCCTTCCCATTTCTATTTTCCGATTCCTTCATCTGCTTTCCTTTCCAGATCTCTAGTCGGAGCCAACCACACCTCTGCTCGTTTCTGCTCCCGTTAATCTCTTCTCCATTTTTAACGATTTTTTTCCTATTTTTTAATTTTTTTTTGTTGACAAAAATCCACACTGCAACAGATACAACTCGAACAGCCAAAAAAGTTCTCTCTCTTTTTTTTTTTTTATAACTCTCGTTGGTTACTGTTGTCATGGACTCTGGTACAGGGAAGCCGAGCCTTTTCCGGAATATTCTGGCTCGTGCTCTTCTTTTCGGTGTTTTCATCTTGGTCATCCGATTCGCTTACGTGGTCACAATCACCGGCGAGTCTTGCAATCGCGGTGACTTCTGCTTCTTCTCCATGCCGCAGAGTCTCAGCTTCGTTATCCCTGGTGCTGGAGTCTCCGCCATCGTCGGAAACGAAGCCGTTTCACGGTCCGATCCTCGCCGGGAACTCTACACCAGCAAGGAGTGGATCAGGTCCGTCCATTTCTACTCTTCGGTTTTCCAAGATCTGATCTCCGACGGTTACCTCTCGCCTCACTCCAAGTCTCTCTGCGCGGAGACTCCTTTAGGACAAGAAGTTTTCGCCTTGAAAGAGATAGGCGTGGAAGATTCCGTTGGCATTTTCAAGAAAGCGACCAAGCCTTTGGTGATTAAAGGTGAGGGGCATCGGATTCCTTTTGATGATAATACTTTTGACTTCATATTCACCGGTGGTGGCCGCCTCGATGCATCGGCTCGTCCATCGGATTTCGCGGCTGAAATCGCTCGGACACTGAAACCCGAAGGGTTTGTAGTGGTCCACATAAAGGCCAATGATACTTACAGTATGAATTCTTTGCTTTATTTGTTCAATTATTGCAAATTACTTAAAATGCACGATATGGATGGTTTCAATTCATCAATGCCTTTTATTAGAGAAATTGTATTAAGAAAAGAGACTGGATTTCTCAACCATCTGAGCAAACAGATTCCCCATGGTAGTTCTGATAATAAGTGCTCCGTTCCCGGCCATAAACGAGAATTAGTCAAGAAGGCGGAGCCGCTTATCGAGGAGGAGCCCTTAAAGCCATGGATTACCTTGAAGAAGAATATAAACAATGTGAAGTATTTGTCATCAATGGTCGATATCAGTTTCAAGAAGAGATATGTGTATGTCGATGTTGGTGCTCGGAGTTACGGCTCTAGTATCGGAAGCTGGTTCCGAAAACAATACCCCAAACAGAACAAAACCTTTCATGTCTATGCTATCGAGGCTGACAAGCATTTCCATCAACAATACGATTTGAAAAAGAAGACGGTTACATTGTTGCCTTACGCGGCATGGGTGAGGAATGAGACGCTGCGGTTTGAGATCAATCGCGATCCTGGCCAAGAAGAAGTGAGTGAGCTTAAGGACAAAAGCAGAGGGATGGGCAGAATACAACCAGTGAAATCGAACGGGGGCGAGGTCAACGAGATCCAAGGGTTTGATTTCGCGGAGTGGCTGAAGAGCACCGTGACAGAAAGCGATTTTGTGGCGATGAAGATGGACGTTGAAGGAACTGAATTCGACTTGATTCCCCGACTATTCGAAACAGGTGCAATCTGTTTGATTGACGAGATCTTCCTCGAATGTCATTATAATCGGTGGCAAAGGTGTTGTCCCGGTCAGAGGAGTACCAAATACGAGAAGAATTACGGCCAATGCTTGCAACTGTTCACTTCACTCCGAGATAGCGGCATTCTTGTCCATCAATGGTGGTGACTGGTTAGACTGGCTCGTAAATAGCTTATATGCTATGAAATCACCCCACCCGTAGCCTTTTTCTTCTTTTATTTCTGGGTTATTGTCGTTGCATTTGTTGTTCAAATCAAAATTTACAATTTAGTTGGCTGTTTCATTGTTCTTGCTTGCTTGTAATCATTTAGTATATATACAAAATATTAATCAAGCTTATCAAGAGGAACTATTTTTAACATATTTGAAATGAAAAAAGATTAAAAAAACAGAATTTACAACAACAAAAATACAATACAACTACAATCTATATTTAGTAAATTTAACTATGTTTTTATTACAAAAAAGCCGTTCCGATTTGTTCTATTTTATGTGTTAAATGTGTAGATGGGAAATGATTTTCGCTTACCATTTACTAACCACAATTCTTTGAAAAAGAATTGGCATTCGCCTCCACCACCAAATTGGGGTTGAATTCCCCGGTTCCATAGCCTTTTTTGAGGGTGGAGCTGCACATTGGTTTCTCAAAAACAAAATTCAATTTCTGCGTGTGTTTTTAAGGGAAACGAGTAGATTTCCCTTGATACACCCAGAAAGGCAAAATGGGTGTCTGCTGTTCTACGCAATTCAAATACAAAGGTAGACGGCATGAGAAACATGAATCGGAGGAAGCGGAGGGACGCCATGAAAACGACGTCACCAGCATCGGACATAATGGTGCCATTATCAGATTGCAAGGCTCCTCTTCCTTCACCTCAATGTACACCCGAAAAGGCAAAAAGGCAATCAACCAGGACGCCATGACCGTTTGGGAGGTCCCTTATCCCCTATCTTTTATTATTCCTTGTTTTGTTTTCATTGTCAATCTGGGCCGGATTCATTGTTGAATTTATGATTCGATTAGATGTTTTTCTGCGTGAATGATCCAGAACTTTACGGGCGAGAAGAACGTGTTCTTCTGTGGTGTATTCGACGGTCACGGTCCCTCGGGTCACAAGGTTGCACGCCATGTATGTGACGCGTTGCCCTTGAAGCTTTCCAAGATGCATCAGCCTCAGCATCGGCATCGGGGTTGTGCTAAGGACAGCGAGAAGGACAATTGTCACAAACAATGGGAGGCGGATTTCATTAAAGCTTTCGAAGAACTGGATGAAGATCTTATCATGGAAGAATCACTTGATAGTTATTGCAGTGGTGCCACGGCTGTAACCCTTGTTAAGCAGGTATGTTAATTGCCTTCACCATATGTTGTGGTCGTAATTGTTGCCATGATCATAACCAATATTTTCAGGACCATCACTTGATAATTTCGAACTTGGGGGATTCTCGAGCGATTCTCGCAACTAGGGACAACAGAAACCAACTTATTCCGGTTCAGCTAACGGTTGACTTGAAACCGAGCTTGCAAAGTGAAGCCGAAAGAATCAAAAAACACAGTGGCAGGGTGTTTGCTATGGAAGTAGAACCAAATGTACCGCGAATATGGATGCCGGACCAAGATTGCCCCGGTCTAGCCATGTCGAGGGCTTTCGGGGATTTCTGCCTCAAGGATAATGGACTTATCTCAACACCTCAAGTCTTTTATAGAACGCTAACACCCAAAGATGAATTTGTAGTGATGGCGACTGATGGGGTAAGCAAGATTACAAATTAAAGCGAAGGATTAAACCTTAAATTTGAGTATATCAGAGGGACCAAAACTGAAATCTAACCAATGCACGTCTCTCTGCCTGCAGGTGTGGGATGTGCTATCAAACAATGAGGTGATACAAATAGTTTCCTCAGTGAAGAGACAATCCATAGCAGCAAAGGTGCTGGTTTATTATGCGGTTCAAGCATGGAGAACAAAGTATCCGGGTTCGAAGGTCGACGATTGTGCCGTGGTTTGCTTGTTCTTAAAGAAACGACCTCCTCCAACTGCGACTTCGACTTCGGGGGCCTTGTCCGACGTCAGCATGCAGACCACAAGCATCGTGGATGTTCCGGACCCTAAAGGCAAGAAAACCGAGGAAGGCGAGACCGTGATTAATTCCGACATTGTCGTGGATCATAAGACGCTTGAAGAAGTAAGTAGAGCAAATGCTTATAAGCGTTCTCGGCTTGGCAATTTGAGTAGGCACAAGACGTCTGGGGATTCCGGTGGTGGAACACGATGCTAATATTTGTGATACAGTAAAATGTCAAATATTATTCAATGATTTTCGAAACTCGGCTATGAAAGTTTAATTTAATTTTGATTATTCAAAATTTTATTCTCCCTTTTTAATAATAAAAAATATTATTTTATAGATATATTATATTATACAATTATTCTATTATTATAAAACTCTTATTGAGCGTTAATCAAACGCAAATTAAGTCGGGAAAATAGTAAGATATCATTCTTTTAAACGATAATTAGAATTAGTTTTTTACCCTCCATATTTTCACATGATTTTTAAATAAAAAGTTTTAAAATATTATTTTAAAAATAAAATTAATAAATATCAGCTCAATCAAGTAATAATTAATGGGTATAACGTGGTCCTATTTTCTTCATATTAATGATTTATGGGCAAGGCAAGATTATTATTCCCTCGTCTTGAATTTATTATTCCCATCAAAGTCCATTCAAATAATAAGTACTGAGGTCAATTTCTTGTTTTATTTAGGTAGGATTAACATGTCTAAATTTAATAAATTTTGACTTAGTATTTTAAAATTATTATTATTCAATTCAAGCAATAATTAGTTTTTTTTAAATATTGAAATTCAATTCATTTTAACTTAATTTATGTTTCTAGAAAACACGAGTGACGTAATATCTCTCTCAAAGATTTATTACCATGCGCTCTCTATTTTTATTTTTATTATTTAAATTTGGTATAATTAGACCAATTCACAATTTATTCATAGTACATGGACTATTAGTATAATTTGACCAGGTAAAACACAAAAACGAAGGCCAGATAAAATAAAAATGGGTTACTCTTGAGATGCCTTATTTAACGATCGAGTTTTCTAGAGCGAAGGCCCATGGGTATTGAAGGGGCATTTCTGTAACTAGACAACTGTCAATATATAAGCGGTGGTGATTGCAGAGAACTTGTGGTCGCCCGCACTCACAGAGACTGAGATTGTGATAAAAAGAGTAAAATGCCGTGCCTCAATATCTCAACCAACGTGAACCTGGATGGCGTCGACACCTCCTCCATCCTCTCCGAAGCCACCTCTACGGTGGCTAAACTCATCGGAAAACCTGAGGCTGTATGCTTCTCCTTCCCTCCTTTTATTACTACCTTTCATTTCTAATTTTATTTATTGCTATTTTGTTGGACATTTAATTTCTGCTTTCTTGTTGTTTGTTTATACGGGAAATTTTGCGTCTTCATGCGGTGCTATAGTCTCGGTGTTGGGTGTTTTAAGACGTATCCTGTTTGGTAAACGATCATTGCCCATTATTGAATTATAACATTTTTAGGTAGTCAAAATGTATATTTACCGTTATACTAACTTGTATGCTTATAAATTTTTAGGAACCAAACTGCACTTTTACTACTTTAGGGGTCCAAAATGAAATTTATCGGTGTATTAAATTATAATAAATAAATATTTTAAAGCGGATGAACTAAATTTTTCTGTTTAGGGGGCTAGGAATTAGGATCCGACTCTGCATTATTGGATAGGTTGTTCAAACGGTTAGTTCAGTCACAAATTAACCTATTTTTTAACTTTTAACTGAACAAAGGTTGGTTAATTCGGTTGGTTTTCGAATTAACCGAAATATTGGGTCTTAAAAGTTTAATGGTTAGTGTCGTTAAAAAATTGTTGGGTATTGATTCTTAATGTGTTTGAACTTAAAATATATACAATACAGTAAGTATTTAATATTTTTTTGTTAATTTGGTTAATTAACTGATAATAGAACTTAGAAAAATTTTCTTAAATGTTAACTGATCTAATATCTAATTAATTGACCGATTAACCAAACTAAATTTGGGTTTGGTCAGTTAATCCGGTTAAAATTGAACAATGAACACCCATATTAATGTATATGTTTTAGGATGGTGTCTTGATACCGATAGGTTTACCATAAGAAAGATCTGTTGTTACCTAATTCAAGTACCTATGGTTCTTCTCGCTTTTGTCAATTTGAATGCTAGGAAAGAGTAACCACTCTGTTGTCTAAACTTGGTTCTTGTTTCTTGTTTGAACGAGCCTTTATCATACATGCTTGTATGCATGTTTGTAAATATCTTTTTACCCTCTAGCATCATTGCAATAGTTACATAAGAATCTGATCAAACTTAGGCTGGAACTGCTTGATGCCTGAAGAATTTTCATGTCCTAAATGATTAATGCTATAATAGTCACCGTCATCTTGTCTATTTTACTAGTATCCATTGTGGATCATTGAGCATGTGGTAAAAGTTTCTACTGTTCTGCCTGTACAAGACTTCTGAATAGTTTTGTTACATTACACCTTGGTATTTAGAGAAATATGCTCTTGGTTCAAGTGATTTATGTTCTTGTTTAGAGATTTTCTCTCTTCCCTTTTCTATTTCTGCCTCTTAGACAAAAAATCTGGTCCGGTTCAACTGAGGACTTGATGCCTGCTTTGTCTAGTCCTTTTACAAAGAACAGGAAATGTTTGGAAGTGGCTGAAAACCAGAAAAAATGCTTTTTATTTTTTCGACATATATAATGTAAGTGATTAGATTTTAACCTAGTCTTGAAAGTTATGCTAAAAACAATATTATTAAGCCAAATGAATACTGGTCCGGGTTCCTTAACCATGCTTTGTCTCCTATTAACCAGCTAGAAGGAACTCTATACTGTTTATAGTAATTCATGTTTGTTCATGGCATGTAATGTATTGTTTGTTGTTTGTATGCAGTATGTGATGATTGTGTTGAAGGGTTCAGTGCCCATGTCATTTGGTGGTTCCGAGCAGCCAGCCGCCTATGGCGAGCTGGTATCCATTGGAGGCCTAAATCCTGATGTGAACAAGAAACTGAGTGCTGCAATAGCTGGACTTCTCGACACCAAGCTGCAAGTGCCACCGTCACGGTTCTTCCTCAAATTCTTTGACACCAAGGCAAGCTATCTATTTTTGCTTTAATTGTCACAAGGATGGATTATTGTCATCTATTTGTTTATTCTCATCACATTTCCCTGTTTGTTTAGGCGCATCAAACCCAAGAATATGCACAGTGTTTGCATGCTTTACACCAGCACTAGATAATCTAAATAGATCTTTTCTGTTTCATACTGTGAGCATAGGTCTCGTTAGCTTTCTTGTGAGTCCGACTTATGCCGTTTCTTTGGCCATGATGATATTTGGCACGCCTTTGCGGTTCTTGCCGCTTGATAGTGCTGATACTTTGATTGTTTTGCAGGGTTCCAACTTTGGATGGAACGGTTCAACCTTCTGAGTCAGGTGATGTCTAACTTTATCGAAACGTTGATATTGTCTTTCCAGTGTGCTTTATTTCTACGGTGAATTGCTGCCGATTAAATTCGGCAAAACACATTATGGCATTATGTCTTTTTATCTATGCGTTTTATTAGGATAATGACATGCAGACATTAATGGACACCGATGTTGAACAAAGCCTATATGAAGTTATGGCACATGATTCAATAATTGGAGTGAAAACTACTTTTACTTTGTCGACTGATCATCTGTTTAGTTTGTAGCGGTCGGTCTATGGTTAAGAGTCCATTCCTCTGACCTTGTAACCCGAGGCATATAGTACATAGTTAAACATGATCTCATTCAATGTAAGCCTAGTAAAAGGAGCAGATGCACATGGCAAACCTTGAATCTCATTCATTGCCCCACTGCACGAGTAAAACAAACTAAATTAAAGGCTTTCCCTTGTTTACGGTTGATAATCAAATGTGGTACAGCATGGGTCGTTTCGTTTGAATAATGATATTAACGTGAATTTTTTTGTAGGTGTAAACGGATAAAATGTTCGATGAATTGTTAGTGATTTGATTATTTATGTACATCTATCGAATTAAACAAATGAATATTTTTAAAATGTTATATTGCTTTAATAAATGAACGAATACAAAAAGAATAAAAAGAATACAGAAGTGTGTTCTATTGGTTTATGATCATGATCAATTTTATTTATGAGTTCATTTATCGACTTGTTTGAAAGTACGTTTGTTTGGATTTTTTTAAATATCGATGAAAGTAAATAATGAACTTAATATAAAGTGAATTTAGAGTTCAAATTATGAAGTCTAAAAGTTTAAAAATTAACGATGTAATTTCATTATTTATTTTGACTTGTAAGTAAAAGGATAAAAAGAAATTATTTATTTTCGAATATTAAACTAATATGTTTAGAAACGAATAGAATACGAAGACATTTTAAATAAACAATAGAAATGATATCAAAATAAATAAACATGTTTGTTCCTTGGGTTTTGTTTATTGTATCTTTTATTTCCAGTAGAAGTCAATTATTAAGAAATGTAAGATAAGATCCGGAATTACATGCCCTTTATTGATTTTAAATATGATAAAATACTTGAGATTGTCATTATCTTACTCAGGTAGATTTTAAATATGATTTAGAAGGATACAAAACAGTTCTTGAATCTATACTTTTTCTATATTTATATGAATACATAATATTAAATAAATACATTTTGAATATTATAAATAATTATTTTACTTAAAAATTTGGAATATTTCTAAGAGGTTTTACATTCTTAAAATAAACTTGGATAACTTCATTCAAACATTCTTAAAATATTTAATTTATACTTAATGTATTGTTTTGGTGCAATAGCTCAACATGTTGTACTCAATAGTTTATAGAAATTATATGCTAATTGGATCATTAGTCTTAATAAGGAAAGGAAGAGTCGTTTGGTTTTGTAGGGTTTAGAAAACAGGACGAGTTCGGTCTTTATTTGACATGTGAAAATGATGTTTGATTTTATCTGTCTCGTCTTTTAATGGGCCTGCCGACTACGGAACTTCTGGAAATGGACCGTAACTTTGTAATATATAATTTGCCAAATATTTAATTTAGGAGGCTCAAATGAGGGGTTAAAATATTATAATACTATTAGATGTTTTATTTAAAATTATAAATTTTGATTTAAAACATCAAAATCTAAAATTAACTTTAAATAACGAGTATGTTCGGGTAAAATTGCCTCCATTCGTATTGGTTCTGTGCAGTACTTTTATTCCATGCACACTCGTTGAACTGTTAGTACTTGATTGATTCCCTCACACCATATTATATTCTATTATTTTGATGCCATTATATTATATTATTTGTTGTGTAAGTATTCATACAATGTATGGTAGCTATTGTGCTACCTTTACATGATAAAAACATGAACTTGGGCACAAAATTGTTTAAATAAATAAACTTGTTTTCAATAAAAAAAAATTAGGTTTAAAAGGGTAATGTCATATTTCTTTCTCTTTTTCTTTAGTTGTAGTGTTTGTTCGTTTTTTTCTTCTTCATCCTTACGATCAATGACGATATCAATTTTAATGTCGATCGTCGATCGTTAATATTCATTGTTTTTCATTTGTTTTATTATAATGTATCTTTATATATTTCATTTTGTTTACTTTAAATAATTCTGTTTTTATGGCGCTATGTTCTTTTACCTTTATAGTATTTTTTTCTGTCTTTATGGCACGTTTTCGATCGTTTTACCGTCATTTTTGTTTATCATTTTTCAGGGTTGGATTTGATATCGTCACGACTGATCAAGATGGCGCTTTAGTTGTTATCATACTGATCTTCCTTGTTTTGGACCCTCAGATTAGATTTAGATATACGGTTCGCGTTCATATCACGTCACTCAAATTTTGATTTGTGATATGTTGGTGGCTTCTCAATAGCTTCATCTCCTTTTGTGATTCTTCTATTGATGTGATCATATATGTTCATATCTATTTTTTATTAGAGTTTATTTCGTTAAGTTTTTAGCATTTTCCATGTAATCTTAAGTGGCAAATTTTATCGTATTTAAGAAAATATTTTTATTATGTGTTTAATTTATAACTATAGTTATAAACTTTTGTTGTAATTTGAGTATTTTTTTTATTTTAAATAAAATCAGCAGCTTTTATAAAAAATAAACCTATTTTCAATAAAATTAAATTAACAAATGAATTATTTCTATTCATTACAAGTAATTTTTGTCTTTTAATATTTTAAAAATATTATTAAATTTTTAATCAAAATACTAACTACATATACATGCATAATCAAGTGTGAAAGTAAGAAAGAAGTTATCTTTTCTTATATCAACGGCTGTGGATGAAGGACTTATAATGGAGGTAATGTACCTTATTCTGTCCCTCGGTGATTCCCTGCTTTTTGACCGTTCCTGGCTGTGCTGAAAAGCAATCATATGTCGAAAGTGTTTTTACTTTTCTAGATAACACCTACACGTTCTGCATGGGAACAGCAAGAATCATTGTCTTTTCTTTTGTAAGAGAAAATTAACGCAGATACAAAGGGTTAATCCTATCCGTATAATGTTTATGATCAATGATTCGAATAACATTATAAAATTGATTAATATAAGGTTTAAAATTGCAATTAGTTGTAATTGAAAATTTTAGACAAAAATATAAGAGGTCTTTGTGATTTTGAAGAGAACCCAATATGACTTTCGTATTATTTTTTTTTCATAATATGGTTCTTCAATTCATTAAAATAAATTCAATGTGGTCTTTTGATAAATATTTTATCGTCGTTGACATCGCATTTTACGACCATGTCAGCACTATGGACCGCCACATCAACATCTTGAATTGGCATACCAATACTGTAATGGTCAAAGACAAAAACGCTGGTCAAAGAGGCATATTATGTTTGTTTTCTGAGTTGGAGAGTCAAATTGAGAGAAAAATAATACGAGGGCTAATTTGGTTTTTTTTAAAAGTACATGGACTTCTAATTCCTTTTGATAAAAAAAATTATAAGTTGTATAACTCTTTAAAGTAATTTAGGTAACATTTTAGATTGAATTAAAAAAATTATGTTATCAATAATATATCATGTAAACCGCATAACTATTCTAGTTACAACATAAATATATATCTATCAGGAAACTCTAGTAACATTGTAATTGAAATTATTATCAATTATATAAAATTTTAAAATAGGTTAAAATTTGTTATAATATAACATTCTCGATTATAATTAAAATTATTATCAATTATATAACTTTCTAGAATAAACGTGATAATATTTTAGATTAAAGTTTGGCAGTGAACTACCGTATGCCTGCAAATTCTAGAATAATGCTTTAAATTGTCATTATGCTGTCTCTAATGGTACACCCTATAGTACGTACACACTGTAATTGTGGTTTTCTGTAAGCTCTGCCACTTGTCCAAATGATTTTCTATTTATATCAAAACAGATTGAGAGAGAAACCAAAGGAAAGCCATGGCATTGGGAGGCGAAAAGACAAAGACTGCTACTACTACATTGAGAGGCTGCATTAAGAAGAGTAGAGGGCCATGGGTAGTTCACAGAACCACCAAAAACGGCAGAACGGTGACCAGTTACCGCTTCCCCTCCGACGGCGAGCGGCAGAAGAACAAGCAAAGGGAGCGGAGGCGTCGTGCCGTGGCTCACAAGATATTCGCGGGCCTCAGGGATCACGGCAACTACAACCTTCCCAAGCATGCCGATACTAATGATCTGCTCAAAGCTCTTTGTGAAGAGGCTGGTTGGCTTGTTGAGATCGATGGAACCGTTTATAGGAAGGTCAGTTTCGTTAATGCTTTCCATTGTTGTTTTGTTTTTACTCTTCTTCTGCTCATCACAACAATTTTCTTTTCAATCTATTGCAGAAATCGGAATCAATATTGGCTGGTTCTATGGCTCACTCTAGCCGCCAAGCCACGGTAGAGGATATCGGTCGATCGAAAGAAGATGAAGATTACTGCACATGTAATGACCATGGAAGTGTTGCACCACAAGGAGCCTTCTTGTCACTAGGGCTAGGTCATTCCCATGCTGTTGATTTGATGCTATCACTCTCCCTTCCAAAGTTATAAGCTATGGGTAAACAACATGGTTTATATATATATATATATTATAGTCTAGTTTTTGTTCTTTATTGTTTCCTGCTATGTAGTTGGTGTTTAATATATATATATATACACATGAATGAATCGAATATATTGCATATGATTCATTAAATACATGTTTTTTTTTGTTGGAGGAAAGATTTTTTTTAGGGCAGACTCCTGCACATGAACATGGTTTCCTTGCAAATATTTTTACTACTTTTAATTTGTTCCACTTAACACAAGACATGATAAGTGTAAGAGTGTTTCAGAGAAAAAATGGGAGGCGAAATCATGACTAAAATGTGATTGTAGCTGTATTTTTAGTTATATATGTAAATATATATGATGTTATTGTGGTTGTTGTGAGTATCGTGATCATATGATAACGATTTTAAACCTTAACAATCCTTCTTTAGCAAGGTAAAAGTACTTAGATTTCAAAAACTGGGAAAGGCAATGACCTTTCAAACAATGAGCAACTCCTCCATGACATTCAACAATTAGCAGAAAGATTCAGTGCTGTAAAGCGAAGAAAACTACCCCCCCGAGCTCATGTAAAACATTGTGAAATTAAACAAACCAGCAGGGCAGCA